ATTATCTTGGTACATCTTCACAACAAGAGCGCCCTCTACGAACAAACTGATATCCACCATTCTTGTTGGTGGTTGCCGCGGATTATGAACGCCACTGAAATTTGCATTGACTTGGAATGCTGGGAATGTTACGTTATCACTACTTTTTGTGAGAATGTACGAGCAATAACCTTGAAAGTTGAATTTCAACCCATCAAATGTTCTGATATGTGGATCTTCACAACCTTGACCTATGTAGAGTTAAACAAAATAAATAATTATACATTTTGACTGGTAATTTATTCTAGCGATACGTATTGAACTATACGTAGCGGGAATCAAATTATAACCAATAGCCAAATACTTGTATAACATGTGTGTTTCTAGGGACATCTCACATTATCGAATAGAGAATAAATCAATGCGCATCGTATAGTTTTAGCATGGCTTTACTGTCGGAGTTGCAGTGTTTATATCACTAATGAAGGATGTGTGATTACTATGCAATTTCGTGTGGCATTTGTTGTGGCCTGCGTGAGTCACTTAGGACGCCAAATTATGAGATTCCCGTCTCATGAATTGACATCTATACTTGTATCTCTTGGCATGTCCGACTTAAACATGTTGTAAGTTCACACATATGTACATTTATTTGATGAACAAATTCAAGATGGTCAAATGGTGATAATTGCATTCTTATGGATTGGCTGGTCGTTCATTATTGTTCAAATATAATACTTAATTTTTATTGGGAATGTTATTGTTTACATATTTTACCTTCTTTGATGACAGTTCCATTATCGTTCACCCAATGTTCAACGACCTTATTGTGTAACCATTGCGCTTCATCATTTCTCGCTATCTTGTTTAATTCATCAAGTGCACCGTCCCAATCCTGTGCGGTGACAAATTTCCAGAAATCTGGGGCCCCATCCAGTCCATACTGATAGTATATGAATATAATAACCGATCGTTGTATTAAAGTTAAGGCTTCAAATTTCTTCAGAGTAGAATTGCCTTATTAAATAATTAAGATTTTATTACAGTTATTACTATTCACAATGTATTATGCAATGTTTACAGCAGCGGTTAGAATACACAAGAAAGACAGGGAAGTGAAGGGATCCACAAGACAAGACAAAAGGATCTGGGCAGATAACATAGCAAAGGAAGCACAAGATGCAGCTGAAATGTGCCAAATAAAGACAGTGTATGAAGCAACCAGAAAGTTATGCAATGATTTTCATAAGTTGATTGGAATGGTGAAGGACAAGAATGGAAATTTGCTGACAGATAAACAAAAGATCAAGAATCGGTGGAAGGAGCATTTTAGTAAAGTGTTAAATAGAGAGGATCTGGAGTAAATTGCAGAAATTGGTGAAGAGCGAGAGATACTATATGACCTGAATACAGAACCACCCACACAAGCCGAAATAAAAGAAGCATTAAAAGATATGAAGGTGTGAAAGTCTCAGGGGCTGACAAAAACAGTTCAAATTTTAAACCAGTTTTTCACAGAAGCGTGGCACAAAGAAATGGTACTGGAGGAATGGAAGAAAGGGCTTACCATAAAACTTGCAAAGAAGGGAGACCTGACTAATTGGCAATTGGAGAGGTGTCACATTAATATTAGTGGTAGCGAAAGTGATGGGCAGAATAATTATTAAAACGATTGTAGGAGCAGTTAACAAGTTTTTCAGAAGCAGGTTTTTGCATGGGTAGCAGCATAACACAGCAGATATTTTTTTAAAAAACATTGTGGAGCAGGCAATAGAATGGAATGTCAACATATGCTTCCTTTTCATATATTTTGAAAAAGTTTTTGATAGCGTTGGAAGAGCAACTCTGTGGGAAATCATGCGTCAATATGGAATTCCACCAAAGCTGATCAAAATTTAAAGGCAATGTACACTGGAAGCCAGTGTGTGGTTATGGATGATTGGATTATGAAGAAGACCACAACAGCTAGGAGTAATGGGGTCAGAGGAAACTTTATAGACGACTCAGATTTCGCTGACAATATTGCTTTGCTATCCAACACAAGAAGCCAGGTGCAATCATTTAAATATGCAAGCAAAATCAACTGAACTGAAAATTAACATGGACAATACTAACGTGATGAGATCGAATTCAAAATGCAGAGAGCCAATTCTCATAGAGCAGAAGGAAATAGAGGAGGTATAAAAGTTCACTTACCTTGGAGCAACAATCAGCAAAAATAGTGGTGCAAGAGAGATTATGAGGCAAAGGATCGGAAAAGCCTTGGGTGCCTTAAACAAGCTATCCAAGATTTTGAGGAATGGACAATTAACAAATTCAAATGAAAATTTTTAAGTCAAATGTGATTAGCGTTTTATTTCATGGATGTGAAACATTGGCAATAACCAAAGGCGATGAAGAGAAACTGGAAACATTCCTACACAAGCATTGAATGAATATTGAAATTTTACACGCCAATGATTATAACAAATGAGGAACAAACAATATTTGTTTACACGTGTTGTGTACGTCTTTATGAGTCCCATATTGCACAGGGCGCAGCGCTATATGTGTAGCACTGTAAATAACGTTCACAGCACAGCTCACCTTTCACGGCGTTGTTATATCTTCTTGTAATATCTTCGCAGAATTTATTCACCACTCTTGTACTTAAATCTACTGACTCATCATAGGTTAACACCAGAGGTGTTTCATTTAGTTTGTCTTCGGCTTCTTTTCCCTATAATTAATTCATTAATCAAGCAATTGACATTGTGATTACAATGTCTTTGACTTACACCGCTTTGTCTCACATAAGAATCTTGGTAATCATTAGAGTAAACACAATTCAGATAGCTCGAATAAATAACTATTATGAATAAAAGAAACACTTATTATCTTGCATAACAATATAATTGCCCACCCGTAATACCCTGTAGTGCATGTTAGAATGCTTTCATTATTCTGGAATGTTCGTCATATGTTCCATTCATTCGAATGCTTTTCTTTGTCATTGCACAGTGTGAATGAAGTGAAATAAAATCACGTATGTGAATACATCATTGATCTGTTAGATAACAGGGTTAGAACGAGAAAACCACAGCGTTTGCATCATACGCAATATTTTCTCTGAACTTTCACGGACTTACAATGAACATAAAAATAGGAGCATATTCCTACAGAAACGCCCGAATCTGATCACACAGTATAGTCAATAAGTTTGTCACTATACACTGATAGTTACGAGGAGGCTGACGATAGTCAACGACCTATTTGGGGTCGAGGTTCTAGTTTACTAGAACCAAATCATGTTGAAGACACACAGTTCGGTATAATTGCTCTGGTATAATTTGATTGCGCTCCTATGGAGGGACTGGAGCATGGTGCTTGAGGCTTTTTTATAAGCTGTGTATATATCTGTGTATGATGATAGTCTGTGAGTGTGACAATAAAAACAACTCAGGCATCGCAGAAATGCCCCTGTATTGAAGTGTTAGCAACTATGGATCATAAGGAAGGGCGAATGGGTGGTTCACCAGTAGTGATGAGGGGGATAATCCAATGACTTGACCAAAATAGTCTTTGTTAACATTATCGGTGAAAATTGCAGGAATACATATACGACGTGAAATACATCCAATGCCACTGCTGACTGTGCTGAATGTCGTATACAACTCTATCTTGGTGTTCAGCGGTGTGGCAAATGTATAATTTATTTTGATCTGTGGTGAGATATGCCACTAGCAACATCTAGGAGCAATGTATAGGCGATAGTATTTTGCTTACCCTGATGTGCCTACACTCTAGTAGAATGTTGCACTGAGTGCACTAGAACAACTCTTTCCAACAATGTCACTAAGGGATGAAAACCGTTTCCTCTTTTCTTGTTAAGGTTGCATATTAGATAGACCATTCCGCCCTGGATATAAGACCGGAAGTTCTGTTGAACGAGCTGAACTGTTTTCCAACTGATGTATGTAGTAGGCTGTCCCAGAGTTTCGAAATCTGCTAACCAATCATGTGTGCATCTCATCTGTGTCTAGAGTGTTCATCAATACTAAGTCGGATGCGGTGGAATGGGGCATGCCAACCAACATATAGTCAGAGATGGTCCCTCACAGCAGCGCTAGATGACACTCATCAGGCAAAAGTGTTGTTGGTGATTGTAGAATAATTTGCATTGCACAATGCCTGACAACAATTCGGAAAACTGCATTGCTGTTTACTAAAGGTAAATTGCTCTAACGATTTGCAATCGGATACCAGACAGATGCAGTTAAATTTCAAGCAAAATTGGGAAGACTTGTGCATCATAATGAAACACGAAATAGTAAATAATCAACATTCGCATACATATCAATGGAAATCATTGTCACTTGCCGTCAAACAAGCAAAACATTCCCCGGAAATAATTTTTTTCATGTAATGCCATTTGAGGCATAGGGAAAGGAATAAACACTAATCTCACCTGCAGACCAAGGTATGGTTTTAGTTTGTTAATAATAATTTGTGGCACTCCTATTTCTTTCAAATAATTTTCATTTATCCTTCCAAGGTCAATTCCACGTCCGACAAGAACACCAATATCTTCTGGTAGCCTATCTGCAACCTCAGGTATGTAGCCATCCACTTCAAATCCTTCATCTTCTTGTAGCACATCTATGTCGAATGTATGTTCACAACTATCTATGATATAACAAATTAAATGCAATTACGCGCAGTAGCTAATGGGTTTCAAGCTATTCACATGATATATTTATTTACAACAGTTTTATGGAATACATCTCATCTAATACCTATTGCATCACTGGTCCTGTTTTCTTGAGTAAACAGACTATCCTGAGTTGAGCAGACTGACAGCCCACATTACATTATGTGGGCACATCGTAAAGTAAATCGCAATTCATAATTACGTTCCTTGGCATTAGCGGTGTGATGTATACGACTGGTAAAAATGGAAATAAGGTACAAAAATAGACATGTTTAGACATGTCCAAACAGAAAGATTGACGTATCCTCCCATAACAGCGAACGTTTTCAAGTCATGTGATGCATTTGATGTGCTTCTAATAATTTTCGAGCAGTAGTTCAATTTGTTGACATCTTGATATCGATTGAAAATGCTATCCGCATAGACTGTAAAGTTTAATGATTCGATGTATTGTTCAATTTCGCTTTTTACCTTTGCATGGGTCCAGTGCCATCATCTGTGAAATTAAATAAATAGGAACAGAATGACTAATATTTCCAAAAAAAAATAAAATCAGCAGAATGTAAATGACAATTGAATGTTCATGTATATTACTGTAATTTGATTTTAAATATATATAAATTAACATTCGAAGGTGCATTACTAAAATGTGTCAGATTTGGCGCGGTATTGAAAACTTAGCTGATTCATTTACAAATTGAGATCATATCACCATATTTGAACAAATATACATTATTGAAGAATACGTTGCTGGCATTTGTATATTTAAACGATGATGTTTTATTATTTTGATGACATGTGATCATGGTGCGCGACGTATGTATTTATATCCAATCATCAGTTTACGTGTTTCAAAGCGTCTTTGCAGCCAATTTTATGTTTAATGATTAAATCCGTCTTTTGACGATTTTAATTCGTTTTCATGCTTGTATGTGATTGGTCATGTTATCACGTGACCCTTTTCTATAAGTATGCAATTATTTGAATTAGTTAGTCTGCGTCCGTGATCATTGCTCTCACGACCTGGCGTAAATCACAGGCAAAATCCCACATGGGGGCGCTGTATCACCATTGTAATAGTCAGCAATTTGGTGGGGAGCACATGTATATTGAAATGTGTTGAAGGCGCCATGTAAATAAGAAAATTTCAGACAATGACTCAGCATGATGGAAATAAATTCAATATATTTTTTTTCCAAAAAGCTAATTCACAGTTCTGAAAGTATTCCCTCGTTTTTTGTGATCACGGTTATTCTTGTTTCATGACGAGCAACCATTTTTTTTCCTGAACAAAATGAAGTTCAAAATTGCCTGCTAGTCCTGAAATTCCTGAACTCAATCCTGGAACATTCCAACACACATGAAAAAAATTGTAGGTCAGGTTGTCGAATTACAGCTTTCTGAAGTTGGTAAATGAATAACATGTCTTTCAACCACGTTTAATCCTTTTATTTCACATATCCAATGACTAAAAAGTTAGTAAATTCGCTACAGGATACAGTAAATATTCTAATAAGGTTATAGAAACTGATAAAAATTATCAAATGTATCCACATAGTGGCGCTGTTGCATTTCCACTCGCCAGGGATTCAAATCAACACACATTGTTATGAACGCAGGCATCCAAATACATCAACAACAGATGAAATACAACGTTTACACTGTAGTGAAAAAATTGTCATTGGTGAAAACGATTTCGTCAACAATAATTAATAAATAGCCACGAAATACACTTAATGTGTGTATTTTTTAAGTCGTAATTTGGTAAATCCTGTTCGAAACTCATAAACAATAGAAAACAGCGTGAAGATCATCGCACAATATTAGACTCAGTATTCTAATGTAAAAATGCAAATGCGTACATGAAAGGAAGAACAAGTGCGAAATACTTGCATGGGTAAAAGCCATGTCATGTAATATTTTATATGTAACAGTGATTATTCTCAATGAGTATTTGCTGGTAACGATTAAATATTAAAATTAGTCACATTACATATATCCTCCGTCATAAGCCACTCATCACAATGCGTGAAACTATCTGTGTCTGTTCCATATATATGT